ACGGGAGGCCCTAAAAGGGGAGAATTTTTTTTTATAACACCACGCAGACCATTCTCTCACATGTAAGACCTATGAGCGCTTTGCGCTAATTTGACGGTGCTAGAATTTTGGCGTAGACTCTACGGTTTGGACACTCAACGTGAAGCCGTAGATCTACGGGACGGACCCTGAAAGGTTAAGTAATTTATACAATATATACAACCTACAATCTACTCTACTACATACCATAATACCTTTACTCACTCACATTAGCTCACTTGCACACTGCTAGTGACACAAAATATATAAACATTTATAAACAGGGAGGCTCCATGACACCCCTCCCCCTCCCCTTCTTTTGCAGGCTACTCAACCTCCAGGCTGTACAAGTACTCTCCCAGAACTTAAATAGACCTCAGCACACTAAGGCATTTACGGGTAAACATGAGAGCACTTAAACACAAATAAAAGTACCTATAGTATAAACCAAAAAAAACAAAAGCCTACTCACACAACTATGTCTTGCTCTTTGTGCTGTGCTTCACCGACTGAACAAAACACACCTCACTCTCTCCTCTACTGGCCACTCTGACCAGGAGTAATATGCATCCAGTTTCAGAACAATCCCAGAGTTATGGAGCATTTTTTTTTTTTTGTAAAATATTCTCTACAATATACTGCGTAATACTGATCTCACTCCAAAACTTTTCTTATTCTCAGCAAAATTTATTGATAGCATCTCACCTACTCTCTCATTTGCTCTTGTCTTATGTTCCTTCACCACTCACTCAACCTATCTTTTTCTCTCCATATACTCCTCCCTCCATGCATCACTTCTACTTTGTAAAAACCTCTAATATGCTAACTTTTTCTCTCTTACTGCTCACTTTACCTCATCATTCCAGCAATCTCTCTTCTTCCCTCCCGCACCCACTTTCCTCTAGCCACAAACTTCTGCTGAACACTAACACTTCATTCTTAAATCTACTCCATACATCTTCAACCTTATTGCCTATACTCTCACTAGCCCATCTTTCTTCCATTAGTTGTTTATATTTTACCCTGATATATATTACATTGGTAATAGATACTGACAAATATCTTACCCTAACTGCTTCCTCCCTTAGTTTTTAAACCTTCTCCTCTTTCTTTTACTTGCCAATTCCATTCTTATTGTATCCCATTTACCTTTTACTCTCACTGTTGCTACAATTAAAAATGGATCCAGTACATCTGTGGCCCCTCTATAAACATGGATATCTTGAAGCCTACCCATTGATATTTTATCTACCAATACATAGTCCAACAAACTACTCTCATTACACCCAATATCATATCTTGTACACTTATCCTTTTTTTCTTAAAATATGTATTATGTGTTACAAAACCTCTTCCTATACAAAGTTCAATGAAAGGTCCCTCATTATCATTTACATCTGGCACCGCAAACTTACCTACCACACCCTCTACACCTGGCACCCTAAACTTACTTACCACACCCTCTACACCTGGCACCCTAAACTTACTTACCACACCCTTTACACCTGGCACCTTAAACTTACCTACCACACCCTCTACACCTGGCACCCCAAACTTTCCTACCACACCCTACTACACCTGGCATCCCATACTTACCTACCACACTCTCTACTCCTGGCACCCCAAACTTACCTACCACATTCTCTAAACCTGGTACCCCAAACTTACGTACCACACCCTCTACTCCTGGAACCCCAGACATACCTGCCACACCCTCTATAACCATTTCTTCCACTTTACCATTCATGTCCACTGCCACAACTACTCTTTCACACTTAACATCTTCCAAAATTTCCTCTTCACTCCTGTCTTCTCCAGGTTCATAAATGCTTCTAACCCACTTTTCACATCCAGCCCTTATTTTAATCTGCACAATCCTTGAATTTATGCATGTATATTTCCTTTTCTCCTTCCATAACAGATCCTTCAACATTGTTGCTACACCTTCCTTGGCTCTAACTCCCTCAATTACTTCTGACTTAATCCCATTTATTTCTTCCCACTGAAGCTCCCCTACCCGCTTCAGCTTAGTTTCACTTCGAGCCAGGACATCTTTTTTTTTCATTCATAACATTGGTAGTCATCTCTCTCTTATCATCTGCAATACATCCATGCACATTCAAACATCCCAGCTGTAAAAAGTTTTTCATATTTTTTAGTAAATAATAAAGGAGAATGGGTTACTAGCCCATTAGCTATATTAAAAATAATTATGTACCAAAAAGGGAAAAAATAATTTGGTTTTGTAATACTTGTTATGATAAATTTTTGACTAAATTCCATTTTTGCATTTTTCCAGGATTGCCAGTATTAGCAGTGAAGATTTACCGGGTGGAAGCCAAATCATGTGATACACCATCTCTTCGAGGCATCATGGCAACTGTTGGGAGCATAACACTTAGCTTACGAAGACCTCACGGTGATTTGCTCTGTTTGCTCCTCTCAGGTCCAGAAGATAAAACAGGTCTTGAGGTTATGCCTCCTGAAACTTTGTCAGTGTCTGATAAGTTGATCAAAGTTGCTCTTCAGCTACCCAAAAATAATTGTGATGAGAGTGTTCCCAGCATTATTACTGTTGGTATGAAAAAAATTGCTTTTTTGTTTGATCCTCAGCTTATTCAGTGGCTTAAATATTCCCCAAGGAAGACTGATTCAGGCATCTTGACTGATATGGTGTTTTTAAAAAAGATATCCGAAGTTCGAGGAATAGCAAAGTCTCAAAGAAAAGCATCAGAGAGTGAATCCGAGGCAACGAAGGTTGAATCGTCAACTTGTACACTATCTGAACCTAAGACAGCAAGTCGAGGTGGACTGTACTCAGCTCAGGAATCTCAGGGAGAGCACTCTAAATCTTGGAAAGAAAAATTTGTAGCTTGGTATCCCATTCTAAGTAGTTTTTAATTCATGTAGACCTGGACAAATGCCACTGTTTTCTTCTCCTCGTCCCCCGCTAAATAAATTTCATCTGAGTCGGGACTGGTGAATGCCGTCCACCGTACATATTTAACAAAAGTGAGAGAGAAACCCCGGGGGAGATACACTATTTTTCCCTTCCTCATCTTGTGTTTCAAAGCTGCAAAAAAGAAAAGTCTTCTGCACAAGTCCACGATTTTCCATCATCTTGCCAAAAAAAATTTGGGAAACAGGAAAATTTAATTCATACTTTTATATTTTGATTTTTTTTTTTTCAAACAAGTGGGCCATCTCCCCCCTGGGCAGGGGACCAAAAAGAAGAAAATCCCCAAAAAAGAAAATATTTTCACATTCAACACTTTCACCTCACACATAATCACTTTTTTTGGGGCAGAGGTGCCCAGAATACAACATTTAGAAGTATATACGCATAAAAATACACAATATACCCCTCCAAAACCCCAAAATACCCAAACCCCCCTTTAGAGTGCAGGCATTGGTTTCCCCATTTCCGGGACTCAAGTCCGTTATTAAAAAAACCCGGGTTTCCCTGAACCCCCTTCATTAAATATTCCCCTGCTCACACTCCAACATCGTGGGTTCCAAAACCATTTTTCTCCATTCCCTATCAACCCTCATGCATGCTTGGGGGAAGCCCAAACCCCTCGCCAAAACCTCCTTACCCCTTTCCCCCAACCTTTTCGACCCCTACCCCCCCCCTTCCTTCCCCTACAGATTTGAAGCTCCCATGTCTTTCTACTTTTGATCCTTTCCCTTTTAAAATGCCCCAAACCCCCTCAAAAAAAAACCTTCAGCCCTCGACTAATACTTTTTTTAATTCCACCTTTTTTTAATTTCCACACTCCAAATTTTCTCAAAAATTTTTACACCAAAACTTTTGCCTTTAGACAGAACATCTCCATCTGCAACTGCCTCCCGCTCAGCTTTTAAAACCCAAGCTTCACACCCAAATAAGAATGTTGGTACTACATACTTTCAACTTTCCCCTTCTTTGCCTCCTTAGATAACATTTTTTTTCTCCACATATACCCCAATGAACCACTCACCTTTTTTCCCTCATCAATTCTATATTAACCTATCTCCATAAATCCATCCGCTGGGCCTCAACTCGAAAATCTGAAAAAAATTCACTTCTTCCCAAATCCTCCTGATTTGAAACCAATTTTTCTTTTTTTAAATCTTTGATACTCTCATCACCTTGCCTTTTCTAGTTCACTTTCAATTTCTACCTTTTCACCACTCCCCAAAACCCCCCCCTAACCTTGCAATTTTTTTTTAGAATCTCCTATAAGCACAGTACATCAGCAAAAAATAATGTGGTCACTTTTCCCCTTTTGTATTTAATTCCCCATAATTTAATCCCACCCCTTCCCCCCCAACACTCTAGCATTTACTTCTTTTACAACCCCACTATAAATAATTAAACAACCCTGGTGACTTAACATTCCCCGTTAAGACCTCTTTTACCGGGGAAATAGTCTCCCTCTCTTCTCACACCCTAACCCGGCCTCACTACCCCGATAAAAATCTTTACACTTTATAACTTACCCCTATCCACATACTTTCAACATCTGCCCCATTTCTTCCCATCTACTCTATCATATCCTTTTCTAAATCTATAAATCAATAAAATTCCCACCTTTTTCTATGTACGCTCACAAAATTTCTTTTAATTAAACACTTCTTCACATCCCCTAAAACCCCTCAAAACCTCCTTGCTCATCTGCAATTATACATTCTGTCTTACCTCTAATTCTTTCAATAATAACCCTAACATACACTTTTCCTGGCATACTCAATAAACTTATTCCTGTATAATTTTTACAATCTCTTTTGTCCCCCTTCCCTTTATATAAAGGGACTATGCACGCTCTCCGCCAATCCTTAGGTACCTTCCCCTCTTTCATACATTTATTTATTTATTATCACACTGGCCGATTCCCACCAAGGCAGGGTGGCCCGAAAAAGAAAAACTTTCACCATCATTCACTCCATCACTGTCTTGCCAGAAGGGTGCTTTACATTACAGTTTTTAAACTGCAACATTAACACCCCTCCTTCAGAGTGCAGGCACTGTACTTCCCATCTCCAGGACTCAAGTCCGGCCTGCCGGTTTCCCTGAATCCCTTCATAAATGTTACTTTGCTCACACTCCAACAGCACGTCAAGTATTAAAAACCATTTGTCTCCACTCACTCCTATCAAACACGCTCACCTGCATGCCTGCTGGAAGTCCAAGCCCCTCGCACACAAAACCTCCTTTTTTCCCCCCCCCCTCCAACCTTTCCCCGCCCCTCCCCCCCCCCTTTCCCTTTCCCTAAAACTGTACCCTTCTCTTTTCTCTTCCCCTTCCCCCGCCCCTCCAAAAACCCTTTTCCTCCCTTAAAACTTTTTTCCCCCCTCCTCCTAACTTCCCTCTTCCTGCATTATATTCACACCACACATTGCCCTCAACATGACTCTCCATGCCCCCAGCCTTCTCCCTGCAACATTCTCACCCATGCTTCACCCCCCTTTAAAAACTTGGAAAAACTATACCCAATGCTTTCCCCTGTTGCCCCCAAGGACAAAGTTCTTGTCTCCACAGACTCCTAAGTGCCCCCTCACCTTTTTCCCTCATCAATTCTATGTTTTCCCCCCCCCCCCCCCCCCCCCCCACCCACTCCACTCCCAAATTCTAAATACTTCATCCCTCCATACTCTCTCCCCCAATCTGATATTCATCTTTCCACCAAATTTTTTTTTGTTATCCCAGATTAGGTGATGAAAATTGAATATCGATGGGGGGGGAGAGAGTATGGAGGGGGTGAACGTATTTAGATATTTGGGGGTGGACGTGTCAGCAGATGGGTCTATGAAAGATGAGGTGAATCATACATTTATTATCATACATTTATTAAACAAAAATACCAACCACTCCAACGCTATGTCCCCCCCCGCTTTTTTCATTTCCCTCATGATCCCTCAGTTCCCCGCTGCTTTTTCCCCCCTTTATTTCCCTAAGCCTCACGTCCTCCACCACACTTACATTTTTGCTCTTCTTCACTCCTAAAAGATGGTATACCTCCCTGACCAGTGCATGAAATTACTGCCTCCCTTTCTTTGTCGACATTTAAAAGTTCCTCAAAATATTCTCGCCATCTTCCCAAAACTTCCATCTCCCCATCTACTAACTCCCCTACTCTGTTTTTAACTGACAAATCCATTTCTTCCCTAGGCTTTCTTAACTTGTTTAGCTCCAAAATTTTTTCTTATTTTCATTAAAATTTCTTGATAGTACCTCTCCCACTCTATCATCCGCTCTCCTTTTGTACTCTCTCACCACTCTCTTCACTTTTCTTTTACTCTCCATATACTCTACTCTTCTTATAACACTTTACTTTGTAAATACCTCTCATAAGCTACCTTTTTCTCTTTTATCACTCCCTTTACTTCATCATTCCACCAATCACTCCTCTTTCCTCCTGCACCCACCCTCCTGTAACCAGAAACTTCTGCCCCACATTCTAATACTGCATTTTTAAAACTATTCCACCCCTCTTCAACCCCCCCCCCCCCACTACTCATACCTGCACCAGCCCACCTTTCTGCCAATAGTTGTTTATATTTCTCCCGAACTTCCTCCTCCCTTAGTTTATACACTTTCACATCCCTCTTACTTGGTGTTGCCATTTTCCTCTTATCCCATCTACCTCTTACTCTAACTGTAGCTACAACTAGATAATGATCCGATATATCAGTTGCCCCTCTGTAAACGTGTACATCCTGGAGCCTACCCATCAACCTTTTTTCCACCAATACATAATCTAACAAACTACTTTCATTACGTGCTACATCTTACCTTGTATATTTATTTATCCTCTTTTTCATAAAATATGTATTACTTATTACCAAACCTCTTTCTACACATAGCTCAATTAAAGGCTCATCATTTTCACTTACCCCTGGCACCTCAAATTTACCTACTACTTCCTCCACAACATTTTTACCCACTTTAGCATTAAAATCCCCAACCACAAGTACTCTCACACTTGGTTCAAAACTCCCTACACATACACTCAACATTTCCCAAAATCTCTCTCTCTCCTCTATACTTCTCTCTTTCCCAGGTGCATATATGCTTACTATAACCCACTTCTCACAGCCAACCTTTATTTTACTCCACATAATCCTTGAATTAATACATTTATAGTCCCTCTTTTCCTGCCATAGCTTATCCTTCAACATTATTGCTACTCCTTCTTTAGCTCTAACTCTATTAGAAACCCCTGACCTAATCCCATTTATTCCTCTCCACTGAAACTTACCCACGCCCTTCAGCTTTGTTTCACTTAAAGCCAGGACATCCAGCTTCTTCTCATTCATCACATCCACAATTATCTCTTTCTTATCATTCGCACAACATTCACGCACATTCAGACTTCCCACTTTGACAATTTTCTTCTTTTTCTTTTTAGTAATTTATTACAGGAAAAGGGGTTACTAGCCCATTGTTCCCAGCATTTTAGTTGACTTTTACAACAAGCATGGCTTTCGGAGGAAAGATTCTTATTCCACTTCCCCATGGATATAAAAGGAAAAGTAATAAGAACAAGAACTAAGATAAAATCAAAGAAAACTCATAAGTGTGTATAAATAAACATGTACATGTATGTTTAGTGTGACATAAGTGTAAGTAGAAGTAGCAAGACGTACCTGTAATCTTGCATATTTATGAGACAGACAAAAGACACCAGCAACCCTACCATCATGTAAAACAATTACAGGCTTTTGTTTTACACTCACTCGGCAGGACGGTAGTACCTCCCTGGGTGGTTGCTGTCTACCAACAGCTGCTCTCTTCCCACTTTTCCATTATGATATAATGAAGGAAATGCATTCACCATCACTCAAACAGTAACTGACTTGCCAGAAGTACACAGGCATCACAGTTCAAATATAC